CACGTGATATAAAATTTTATTGCATTTTTGAGCATAACTTACAAATTCTGAGTTTTGGTGATTTTCCCAAAATTGGCCACGAGGCGCAGCAAGTTGCGGGACTAGGTGACTTGCACCATATAACTATCATATTTGCGGATCCTGGTGTTACACATCAAAAATCCCTTTAAACTTTTATGTTACATCAGATGATTTTAAGGGAAGTGAATATTCGAATACAGTCACTATTTGGGTAGTAGTAGGCTTTCTTCGCGTCATTATTTCGCGAATTCAAAATATTTTTGGGTCGCGGTATTGTTCTCGATTAGAAATAGAAATTTCTTCTATTTCCATTATTTGTATTAATAATAGCAGAATTAGTAGTGTGTCACCCGACAAATAAAAATAAATCCATCATCATTATCATCTTTATTCAGTAAATTTGAATACTTTGAACATATTTATTCCTTTCTTTACTGAAGGTTATTTTTCTTTCAATTAAATAAAGCTTCCTTTTTTGAAGTGAAGAGCTAAAACCAAAGTCAAATAGAGATCTTTTTTTTTTGACAAAAAAAATAATATAAAATAAAATTTGGTAATTTTAGAACGTGATTCACTTCTTGTTAAAATCTCTCGTACAACCTATACAGATAAATAATCATATTGTTTCCACAAAAAAAAATAAAAAAATAAAAAATATTGTTTCCACAAAAAAGAAAAAAAAAAAAAAAAATAATAATAATAATAATAATAGTAAACATGAGTAGTGTTAGTAGTAATAGTAGTAGTAATAGTAATGGTAATGGTAATAGTAATGGTAATGGTAATAGTAATAGTAATGGTAATGGTAATAGTAATAGTAATAGTAATAGTAATGGTAATAGTAATAGTAATAGTAATAGTAATAGTAATCAAGCAAATACAAATGAAACCGATTTTAATCCTGTGACTGTTATTACCACTTTATACCAGCAACATCTAAGATACAAAACTGAACCAAGATTCACACCTACTCAAAACAAAGAACTAAAATTTAATTGTGTTCTTAGATTTGATGATCAAAAATGGAGCACTAGGCAGGAACACATGAAGAAACGCAACGCTAAAAGGGATGTTGCAGAACAAGCTATGATTTACCTTCAACGCAAATACCCGGAACAATTGCGAAGAACTCAAAGATACATGGTTGAAGCTTTCACGCCAAAATATCAACCCAGATTAGAAAAATATGGAAAAGGAGTTCAACAAATGGCTAGTGGATTACATTGGACAGAAATGATACCAAATGTTAAAAAATGGTATGATGAAATATTAAAACCAAATTTTCCACCATGTCCCCGTACTCTATTACACGAACTAGTTCAAAAATACCATCTAGGAGCTGTTACATACAAAGAAATTAAGAATCTACCTATTCATGATGAAGATCCTAGCGTTAAATTTATTGTTGTTGATGTTGGGAAAAGAAGATTTAACCCAACATCAGTATTTGATAAAGCTCAATATAAATATGCCAAGGATCATGTCGCAATGATTGCTTTTGAGATCCTTTATGAAGAAATAGAATATGAAGAAAAGAAGTTGATTGATAAAATGGATCTTGACTATCAAAGGTTAATTGGAAATGTTATTTTTATGGAAGATAGGAAAAAATTTACACAACCTGAATCATATAAAAATGTAACTAATGATCTTGGAGTTCCAGTTGAAGAAGAGGTTCCAAATGATAATAGTGATGATGAAGTAGAAAAAATAACATATACAACATCAAAAACACTAGCGCAACTGTATCCATCAATGTTCAGTGAGGATGGTCATAATAAGACTAGTAAGCCTCCTGTCACTGTCACCATTACTAAACCAACAGTTGAAAGATCACAACAACGTTACAAACCGTATAAACCATCGGTTGAAAGATCAGCAAGGCTACAACAACGTTACGAGCCACATAAACCAATATTACGTGTAGACAAGACATTCGTTTCATTGATCCATGAGCTAGCAACCAAGAGACGTTGGAGAAAACCGGAATATGACTATCATAGGTTGGCTGATGGTGGCTATTATGCTAAATTATCGGTAAACCATTATATGTTCACTGGAATGGTTTATGCCACAAGACATAGTGCAAAGGAGGATGTGAGTCAACTGGCATATGGTATATTAAAGAATTAATAATAAATGTTTTCATGATGTTATTTTATTAAACCTTTCAAAATAGAATTAGTAAATTCATCAAAGCTTGGGATTTTAAAATTATAATAATATAAATATATAAATTGTACAAAAAACTTTTTTTTCATAATAAATTTACTAAAATATTCAAATACATTAAAGATGTCAATAAACAATTTATTCAAGCTTTTGAATATCAGTTAAATGACTATTGGTAGAATATAAAGAGCTTTGGTCCGTTGCATAATTTACAATGAATTAAAACCATTAACATTGAGATATCTTTCTTATTGAAATACTGGGCAAAATTTAATTTTTGGCTGATATTTTTATAAGAATGAATGAGCATGAAAAAATTACATAAATCAACAACCTATTGTAATTTAAATTTTCTTTTTTTTTCGAAAATAGTTTGGACCAGAAACCTTGGTTGTGATTAGCATTGGTTGCCAAAAACTATTTTGAAGAGGCAAAAAAGTCAATACTAAAATTAAAAGTTATATGTCAAACTAGTTTTGACTTGTGGTGAAACCTTTTGAATTGCGAAGCTCTATAACTAGTTGTGAACCGCAAACTAACTATTTAATAGTTTGCAAAATAATTATTGGCATGGTAAGATGATTTTTATTATTAATTAGTGCTGTATAATTCATTTGTTTATTCATTCATTTGATTCATTTGATACTTATTTACTTATTTCAGTAACTTTGCTTTTAATAACAATATATTAAAAAAAATATTTACCGTATTGTCTGGAATATAAGCAACGTAAGCAACAGTACGAATTTGCAACAAAAAAACAGAAAAAATAGAAAATAAATATAAGCAACATCGATATTTCGAAACATTTTTTTTTATCTGACTTATTCTTAAAAAAATAAGAAAAATTTTTATTTTTGATCATTTTTTTCCAGAATCACCAACAACCAGGGTTGGCAAATTGACTGGTCCATAAAATACTAATTATGGCTAAAGTGTTACGCTAATGGACCCAATGGCCACCAATAGACCATTAATGGACCGCACATTTTCCAACCCTGCCAACAACCCATTTTTCACCATAATTTTCAATAGATAGTCTTGCGTTCGTTTCCAACTCTTCATCAGAAGCATAACTTGATAAATCAAAGGCATCCTCATCATAGATAGTAACAGTATTACTAAGAATGTAAAAAATATTTATTAGCACGACTAGAATGACAATAACTACAACCATCTATTCTTTTTCTAAAACTAGAGTGACGACGAGTGGCGATAACCACCACCATCCTCATGATAAACACTTGCTCAGCAGTTTCCTGCCAATCGTCTTTTTTTCTTTTTCTGTTTGATCAGACGTTTTTGTTTTTTTATTTTTAAAAAAGAAAAAACAAACTGGCACTTGGTGTTGTGCAAAGATTTTTTTGGGACAGACGCAAATTGGGGGGTTTTTTTTTGGAAAAACAATTTATTTTTTTGACAGATGAGGAAATGTGAGTGATGTTTGGTATGATATGGTTCTGAAGACGTGTTAATAACTAACAAAAGATACCTTTTTTTTTTAATTTGTATTGATATAATATGGTGTCTTTATTTTATAAATATTTTAATTGGAATCAAAACATGGGCAGAACTTGTTGGGTAATTATAAGATTCTTATCAAGATGGTAACAAATGAACAATTGGTATTTTGGTTTGCGTAATCGTTATTAATATTATTAATTATTATTCACAAATATTAATTTTAGAACGATACATAATAAAAATGCAAAAATTATTATTGGGATCATTTATACATTACTAAAAATAGCAAAGAGATCTCTCAAAGATTTACAAAAATCATGTGAACCAACTTATCAAGAGTCATTTATTATTATCTGGCTGGAGGAGTTGTCCGACTTACAGCTTAACAAAAGTTTATATGTGTATCTGACTTATCAAGAGATTTTTAAATATAAAAAAAAAGGGCTGGAAATTTTTGCCCGAGTTAAGCCAAATCCGACTTATCGAGTTTGCCTACATATATAATTACATGTCAAGGCAGCACACCGTTGAAAAAGAAACAATTCAAGTATGCAATATTTGATTATTGGAAATTTTACAGATGTTGAAGCACACGCGCTACCTTGAACACTTTACTGTCATTCTCTTATCTTCCTTATGCACACAAGGCTAATCTGACCTGAGATATGATGATGCAACAGAATTCCAGGGGGAGTGTATGGCTCTGGAGTTTACCGAGACTGCATCAATTGTTAATGATGTTTTCCCTCACAGCACCCAGACCAGAGAAGGCTGCTGGCATGCTTGACAAAAAGTTACCTGCAACAATCCTACCTCTAGGGTAAGGATGGCTCTGCAACCAAGTCGCAACTCTGTTGATGAATTGCAGTTCCATGTAAACATCCAGATCCATCAAAGCAACAAGAATTCGCAACTCATTGCAATTCAATGTGGACCCTAAAATTGCATTTGAGCTCTGATATTAGGAGGAAAGCTGTAAAATAAAATGGTTCGGATTTTGTTTGGTATAATTATCCCTATAAAAAATTTTGTCAGAAAATGTATGGTTTGTCCATACATTTTCCGCATATTCTGTATGGAATATGTACATAATTATACATTAAAAGAGCCAAAAATGTATGGAAAATACATGGAATTTTCGGAAAATGACCTGAAAAATTACATTCCGTACATTTTCCTGTGCATTTTCCAATTTAAATTGCACGTTTTTAATATTAATATTAATACAAATTCTTTATTTGAATTATTCATTTTATTCGTTTATTCGAATTATTCGTTTGATTCGTTTATTCGAATTATTCGTTTGATTCGTTTATTCGAATTATTCGTTTTATTGGTTTATTTAAATTATTTAAATTATTGGTTTTATTCGAATTATTCGTTTTATTGGTTTTATTCATTTTATTCGTTTATTTGAATTATTATTATTATTATTATTGGTTTTATTTTATTCGAATTATTCGTTTTATCAGTCGTGGGACATGTCACAAAAATTTATTTTGATGATCGATATTGAATTTTTCATATATAGTAAAAATTTACAATTGAATACTTTCAAACCCCAATTTAGTGCCCTTGTTATGTAGCAATCACCACCAAATTTGATATAAAGTTTCTTTATAGTATATATCTACATAATGAAAATTTTTGAGGCAGGTTGTTAATAAAACCATAGATAATCACAACCTTAAAGTTCTGTGATCTCGTGTCTAGAAAAATTGTCATTCGTATTGATTGCGAACAAATAATTACTTTTTACAAGTAATTACTATACATGGGATGGTAATTGCCTAATTACTGTAAATACGTAATACATAATTATCGTAATTAATTACCACTTTCTCTCTTTAAAAAACGTAATTACGAGATTAATTGCGTATTGCGGGTGACGAAACTAATTACAACAACGAATTAATTATTGGAAATATCATAATACAAAGTCACTCCCGTTATAACGACACTCTCCGTACAAACAAAAAATGTCACTATAGCGAGAATGTCATTACAACGGAAGGTCATATGAGAATCATTATCATGTGATTTTATAATTATATTTTTAATTAATCCATGTTTATATGTTGTATTAATTATTTTATCAGGAAATTAAAACTTACTTCGGGTCAAAATTGACCAGCATTATACGGAAAGGTTAGAATTTTACATGATGTTTGTCAATTTTGATCCCGGCGTAAGTTTAATTTCCTCGTGTTTTTTTCAGAAATGATCTGAATGATTTTTGATTGGTTATCCCATTATACTGACATGCATTATAGAATAAATTCTATAATGATAATAATAATATTGGTATATATAACGGGATAAATAATAGGTGTCATTTTAATTTCTTATAATTTTGTAATTACGTATTACGCATTGCGTTTTTGGCAAAAAACTTACCATCACGTGTATAATTATATTAATGGACATTTCTTGCAAAGTAAATACCGTATTGTCTGGAATATAAGCAACACAATTTTAACATGTAGGTGGTGCTTATATTCGAGACATTTTTTTGTGTTAGATTATGTTTCCTTATCATTTGTGTCGAGTTCTAACTCATTTTTTCCCAAAAGTCAAACGAGCTATAGTGTGCGCCATCTAAAGACATCAAACACTGCATTTACAAATCTTCAAATCCCAAAATAGCGATGATATTCTTTACATTGAAAGTATATCCAAATAAATTTTTACTTGAATAAATGAATAAAACAAACACACAATTCAAATAAAATGAATAATTTGAATAAACAAATAAAACAAATAATTTGAATAAACAAATAATTCTATATAATAACAAATAAATGAATAATTCAAGTAAAATGAATAATTTTGAATGAATGAATAAAACGAATAATTCAAATAATTCATAAAACTTTAACAGAAAATATATCAAAATTTTGTTAAGTGGTATGGTTTCTAAGCTAAAATTGTTCCTTTTATGATTTACATATAGATGTGGCATCAACTTAAAATCACGATTTTGGCAGTTGAGGTCTTTTCTATCATTTTTTAGGTATGTGTCCTATTTTTCGATTGTCCAGAAGATTTTATGCTTAAACATCTTTTAAAACGTAGTCGTGTTGATGGTAATATTATATCACTATGTTATCACCGGCATCACTATCAAGATTGTCATCGTTTTTAAGTCTTTTAAAAAATTTTTTTGCCAACCTAGAGTTAAGCCTTTTATTATTATCTTGAGATAGCAATGCATTGAAGTATGAGGCTTCCTGGTTTATAGATGTAATTATCTCTTGTAATTTCTGACAAATAACTTCAGACGTATGTGAATATGGGATGCGAGCCAATGATAATAAAGCTTTCTGTGGTTGATATTCATATGACAAGTTATCCGCAAATATCCATATTTGCCACGAGAAGTCAAAAATCACTTGTTAGTGATATATGTTTAGATTCTCTCTCCATTATTTCGGTTGATAAATTTTGAAAATGTAGCTCTGTTATGTTATAGAGACTATAGAGGCATGTTCTGCAAGCCCAAAACAAAAAAATTCTCGTTTGTATGATGAGTTATAACAGTTTATGCAAAAGGCAATTAATTCTCTAATTAATTAGGTAAATTAATTTTAACAATCGAAGCTTTAAACCATTTATAACTTCGGAAACAAATATAGCTACAAAAAAAATTAAAAATTTTTAATTCCTAAGAACCATAACAGCACTATTTTTTTTATTTTTTAAATTTGTATTAATAGGAATCTGGAGTTTATGGCAAAAATTACATTTGCAAATACATCTTCCATTATTTAATCAGCTGTAATGCATACACTATCAAATGCTCAAGTACACTTGTTTACTTCCATTTATACTGTATTATGTGTCCTTAAAAAGAATATATATGCGATTGTGTTCGATGGCGGTTGATCATCAAACATATGTTACATCAATATAACAAATTATTATTATTATGTGCGGATTTTTTTAGTATCTTTATCATATATTTCTATACATTGTAAATGTTGACAACAAAATTCAACTAACAATATATTTTTTTGAAAATATGAATTATAAAAAGAAATTTCTATTAATTTATCAGTTGCAATGTAAATTTTTATGGTAAAATTTAATAATAAATTGAATAATTTTAAACCATGATAACTTTTTTTTTTATAATAAAATTAAACAAACTTTTTATAATTTTATTGTTTAAGTCTTCTATAATAAAGTTACAGAGAGATTTTTTTCCTATCTCATTTGGTTATAAAGTTTTCTTATTAGCAATCTTTTTTCAATTTCTTTAGAATATATAAAAAAAATTTTTTTTTTATTTAGCAAAAAAAAAAAACTCTCTGTAATCTAAAAGCTTAATCTATTTACTATAATTTCTCTTAGTTTCATGTCTGTATCTCTTTATTTGAAGGCTCTGATACGATTTTTATTTATATAGTTTTTACATATATTCTTATTTTTTAAAAAAAAGTTTGTTATTGATCGGCATTATGTTACATCAACTAATTTTGATTTAATCAGGGCATCTCACACCCCAATATGCGATGGCTAGGAAAGAGTTTATGTTTCAAATTTGCCCCTTGTTCTTACAGTTGAGACGAGAAAGAACCTTTGGATTCCAATTCAATGTTTATACAGTCAAAGCTCGTTATAGTGGATCGCGTTATAGTGGATTTTGCCTATAGTGGACTTTTTTTATTTCCCCAATTCTCTTTATAATAAAATTTGCTCGTTATAGTGGACTTTTTAATAAAACCTCTTTATTGTGTATAATGGACTTTTAAAAATTTTGATATAGTTCGTTATAGTGGAAATCATGCAATCTTTTACATTAATGGTTAATGTTAATGTGGTTTCTAAACGGCAATCAATGTGTTAACAAAATTATTTGTGCATTATCCTTTTTTGATGGCGGTAATAAAGTATTCTGTCTTGGTTAATTTTTTTAACAATAAATTAATTTTTGTACGTTATCCTCTTTTTTAATGATGAAGAAATTATTAGGAACCAAATCCCAAGGTTGATGATTCTGATGAAGTGGAAGAAGTAGAAATGATGGTTATTTCTGATAAAGAGGCATTAAATAGTTTAGAAAAAGTGATTCAATATTTAAAAAATCCACCATATAACTTTACAATTAGCTATCAAGAATTAAAAATGATTAATAGTTTAAAATTAAAAATTCATAAACGTGTTCAGGATAATGCAAAACAACTTATGTTGGACAGTTTTTATTTACTACGTATATATGTGTTGTACATTAATAAAATTTGATCTCGTTATAAGGGACTTTTCAATTTATTTATAATAAGTCCACTATAAAGAGATTTTTCTTTATAGTGGAAATTCGTTATAGTGGACAAAAATTCCTGGAATCAAGTGTCCATAACAAGCTTTGACTGTATGCTTTTACACTAAATTTTCCATTAAAATTTTTCCAAGGATATCTTTAATCTATTATATTGATGAAAATTGAAAGTTAGGCAATAGGCCTTCTAAACATCACATGAAGCGCAAATAAAAGAATTATATTGTTGGTTTGAGGATATATTTATTTGTACATATTGAAGAAGGCAATAACTGCAATAATTGATCAAAAGTGCAATAACAGATTATCCGGTTATCAATAGACTTCACGTGGCAACATACATATTTTTGGCTGGTATAATGAAATTCACTTGAATTAATAAAAATAATTTATATATGTAGATATTAATTCATAAATATTATTATTGTTATTATTTTTTAATTCTATGATTAATTCCTTCTCATAATATATAAAAATTAACCTATTTATATGAGAAGGGGAAAGAAGAAAATATTAGTTAATATTTAGAAAATAATAACAACAATAACAATTATAATATATTTACGGTAAGATTTTTGGTATCTAAAGAAGATATTATAAATTAATATAAAAATAATATAGATATATATGTGCATGTGTGCAATAATTTTAAAATTCATCATAAAAATATAATACAAACCTTGCACGAGCACCAACACCACCAAACTTTTTAGGTTCACAACGACGAGGATCAGATACCAACAAGCTTCTGTCATACTGAATCAAAGTATTTTTAATCTCTTTTTTTTGAGCCTCGTCAACATACTTTTGATAATATGCTACAATAGATTTTGCAATAGCTTGACGAATCGCATAGATTTGTGAGGTATGACCACCACCTTTTACACGTACTCTAATATCAACTTTAGCAAATTTATCTTGACCTAGGATTAGAATTGGTTCATAGACTTTGAATCTCAAAATTTCTGGTTCAACTAAATGTAATGGTGATCCATTGATCTTGATTAAACCTTTGCCGGCTTTACAATGTGCCACCGCAGTTGCAGTTCTCTAAAAACAAATGAAATGATGAAGGTAAATTAGAAATTTTATAATTTAATAAATTTTAATTAAATTATTTGATGTTGCTCTTGTCACTGTATCAATTATTATTACAAACCTTACGACCATAGGTTTGAACAGCTTGTACTTGTGCCATTTTCAAAAAAAAAAAACTAAATCAGAGAGATCTAGAATTA